ATTGTCAGCACTGGCGCTGATAAGAATTTAGAAATTACTGCAAGATTTACGCTCTACGCCTACATTTGAAGATGACGTTATTGATGTCTTTGCGCAAAAGAATAGGATACCACTGATCTACAAGACCTGACTGCAAACAAGTAAACTCATGCCACTTTGTACGTAATTGCATGGGAATACATTACACGTAACATTAATACAAACTTTCATTTCTTTCTTATTACAGACACAATAAAAAAATTGTATTATCATGTATGAAGTGGGGACGCCCGACAGCGGTGCAGCTATTGTTGCAAGTTTGAGCACCATCTTTGTTAGTAGATTACACTGGCCAACATTTTGGTGCCTCAGATATTAACATTCTTCCAAGGTATTTCTATGTCACTGATTCAAAATGCATTAGTTTTACCCCATCAGCTCTAGTTTTGTAAAAATCACATACCCCACATCCACCCTGTGGGGGGGGGGGTTGAATTTGTAAGCATCAATGACATGGACATAAAATATTTATTTACTGATGTTAATTTGTTGTAAAATAAAATTAATTTGCTTTTATACATGAAATATATCAGATTACTGTAATAACATAATTTTTCATTAAATTGTTTTAAAAACTCACAAAGGCAACCATTCATTCAACACCCAAAAAGTTTTTTAGATAGATTTTTTGCAGTGAGAAATGCCATACCAGTCTCATTGCATGTTCCATCACTAGTACGAGGGTTGCCTTTTATATTTCAGGATTAGAAAACAAAACAAATATTAATCATTGAAAATCACTATTATTTTTCAAAATATTCACCATGAAGATCTACACACTTTTTCATGCGTTTGAATCAATTGTCGAAGCACTTCGCCACTCTGATTGACGTATCTCCAAAACATGCATTCTGAATGCAGCAATCGCTTCTTCAAATGTCGAAAACCTTTGACCTCTCAGTTTGTTTGTTTCGTACGGGAATAAAAAGAAGTCATTCCGTGCAAAGTCAGGACTATACGGCGGAAGACTCATCAAATCGATGTCTTCGGCGGTAGTTTTCCTGATTTCTTGGAAGACAGCTGGCAAACAAATCGTTGTGTACCATTCAGAATTTACTGTTCTGCGTTGTTCTAGTGACACGGGTGCGACATGTCCAGTTTTTCCGAAAGAAAAAAAAAAAAAAAGTTGGATTTTGTTCATCTTGAACCACCCATACAATTGACTGCTGTTTAATGCCTGGTTCATAAGCGTAAAGCCACGATTCATCACCAGTCACGATGTCATAGACTTGTTTCGAAGCACCGCGATCGTATTTTTTGAGCATTTCTTTCGACCAATCGACACGAGCCTTTTTTGGAGTGATTGACAAATTGTGTGGGATCCAACGCGAACAATTTTTTTTGACAGTCAAATGTTCATGCAATATTGAATGTATGCTGGTCCCACTACTGCCTAAGGTTGTCTCAATCTCACGATGTCACATGACGATCTTGCAATATCAGTTCACGCACAGCATCAATGGTTTTCGGAACAACTGATTTTAGACGACCTTCGCGAAATTCGTCTCGGAGTGAACTACGACGATTGAATTCACCATACCATCGATAAACACTGGTCCTTGATGGAGGTCCATCGCCAAAAATTAAATTAAGTTCATCCATGCACTTTTGCTGAGTTAATCCACGTCGAAAGTTGTAAAAAATAGTCGCACGAAAATGTCCACGATATAATTCCATTTTTGGGCCAAGATGAATCTTTTAAGTTACTGTAAACAACACAAATAGCGCTCGTATGTCATAACGTTCTGAATACGTATAAACTCAAACCATCCAACTTTACGATAGAGCTGTCAGTTGCCAGATTGCAACACCACGGTTGCCAAATCCCGGAACATAAAAGACAACCTTCGTATGCAAGAATATGTGCATCCCATTTTCCTTGGTCTCTCTTTACTATTGGTGAATTTCTTGGGGAAATCTTTCACCTTACTCAGCACTTACATCACGCGAAGTAAAGCAATTTAAGAGGCTGTGAGGTAATGGATCTTAATATTCATTGTAGCCAAGCACATGGAAATTGGAAAGTATTGTTTCTACTAAATGTGAAAATTTTCCCTGCTTTATGCTTTCCTAGAAAGTTTTTCACAACTAAAAAAAAGAAGACGATGCACTAGATTAACTTTCGCTTATGGATTTCAAGAAATTCCAATCATTTACTAATTTTCTTATTTGCGAACCATCGAAAAACCCTGATTCCATTTTCTCGTTGGTGACTCCCAAAAATATACGTAATATACACTGCAAGCACAAACCATCTCATCCTCAACGTCTGCACAAATTGCCTCATGAAGCCTAGCTCGATATGCAAACGAGTGAGAATATTTTCTCTCGAGCCACCAAAGATCAATTGATTGCATTGTTTTCCCCTGCAACTATATTTTTCCTCAGAGGCCAAGTTTCTCTTAACCAATGCTCACTTTTGGCTCTGCTGTCTCACAGAAATATAAAGTAGGCATAGTTTGTGTAGACACTTCGTTGACCATGAAGAAAATTCACCATCTTCAGATAAAGACAAATTACCTACTCATGTACATAATACTTCTTTAACTAAAGAAATTGTCTCGTACCCATCTGTCACACGGTATGAGTGATCAATTGAAACAGAGCCGTATTTGTCGATGTTGTGTAAGAGTACACCCTTGAAAATTCTCCTTGGGCTGTCAGTGAAAAGCCATTTATCTGACTCTGTTAACCCAACTTTTTCAAAACACACATTCTTGTCTATCCGGGATAAGCCGCGTCTCGGTCAATTGCGCTGACGTTTCGGCCATCTTGCTGTGGCCTTCTTCAGAACTATACTGCCTTTTCAACCTTTATATCGTTCTAGAACACTGCGGTTTCTTCTTCGCTTGATTACGTAACTGACGTGCTCTGGCCGTGCTCCCATATTTGACTTAATTTTCATTACTTTTCTACATCATTCAGGAACCTTTTGTTGCTAAATTGTTTTCTTTACTTGTTACAGATAAGCTGAAACGAGATTTGTATTGTCCCAGAATTGAAAAAGAAGTAATACAGATATTGGTATAAAAACGGTGTAACGGACAAACTTTTATTAACGTTTAAATACTTCCAATATGTCTTTGCTCTATAAAGTAATTTAGATTTGCGTTAAGTTTTGAACTATCGGTGAAAGAGTTGTGATAACTGTTAAAAACATCAAAATTCAAAGTTTCGTCTATAACAGTAACGGAAAAACTTTGTGTTTCAAAGTGTCGAATATAAAAGTGGTGAATTTCGTGGTCATACAATAGGTAAAGTATAGACATCTAATTGTATTTATTAGTTTGTAGCTCTTATTATTTTGTAGATCTATTACTTTAAACACATTGGAATTTTTTCGCATTTAATTAATCAAAAACATTTAAATACTAATTAGAATCACACCCCTGTTGTTTTTTCAAATAAATACATGGCTTAAATTGAATAATTTAATACACTTAAATTAAAATCATATTGGTTTAGGAGATTACTTTCTTCATTAGTCTGAGTGCACATTATTTATTTATTCATTCTCATTTTTACCGCGCACTTTGATATGCATTCGTGACATGACTACTATTCGCTATACACATACGCGCTACACACAAAGCAAAATTACTCACCACTACTAATCACGACTGAAAACAGATTTTCTGCTTTAGATTACGACAATGAGTTTCCTTGCCTTCCCAATCTTCACTACTCCCTCCCATCATCGACACGTCCACCACAAACACGCTAGCAAGCGCAAAGAAGCAAAGACACGTAAAGTTGCGCAACTTGGCCCACAAGTAAACAAGGACATTGACACTGAGCCCATCACAAAGGTACTGATTTTAGCAGAGAGCCATGGGCGACAAATCTCCTCTCTGCTCAGGGAAATCCAATCCAATTTCTCTGTCACGGTTGTTTTGAAACGTAACGTGAGGTTTGCCGACGTGACCAGTGAGCTAGACACACACACAAAAGCTCTCACCAAACAGAATACAGTCATCATCATAGGAGGGCAGAAAGACATCAATTTGGGTGGTCACTTTACACCTGAACAACATGTTGACAAACTACAACGTGCCGCCCAAAACACGAACATTATAGTCGCCCTCCTGGTACAACAAACTACCATTGTGCAAAGAAATTAAAGTCGCAAACAACTAATTGAAACTGCACCTGAGGGACACACATGTTAAATTATTTGAGCTAAACTTTCTCTTAGAAAAACACTTCACCCGACATGGTATTCACTTGAACCTTGATGGAAAATATGCACTCGGTAGCGAGCTTGCAAAACACATCCTTTCAGAACCTCGGCAGTGTCCTGCCCAACATCCTTACTTGTTCTTCAATATTTTAAAAACAAATCTCCGGAACAAGAAGTCTCGCAAGCAATCGCATGAAAATGTCATCTTGATCTTGGTTTCACACGGGAAAAATGCTGCTGGCGTATACAAACTACTCAAACCTGAAGAAAGTCGAGACCCAATCGCTTCTTTTCAGATTTCTTCTACATTTTAGATTTTTTCTGGTGTACTAAGGTGCCGTCTCCAGGCGAATTTAAGGCAGTCCTCTTATTTTGCCTCTGAAGCCACGGCACACAGTAATTGCGCGAATGCCACAGCAACCCGTGATTTGGCATATGGCGCCTCGAAATCTATTTTTATCAATCCGTCCCTTCCGTTTGCAAAGGCCAGGACCACCAATACAAGGGAATATCCGCGGCTCAGTCTGTCATGTTCGGTAAGCGAGAAATAAGAGTTTTCACGCGCCCCTGGAGGTCAGACGAGAAAATATCCCGTTCGAACATCTGAGCTGAAATACTGTGCGAATACTGTCTCCCGTTGTGAACTAAAAGGTTAATGTTTAATATTAACAAGTGAAATATTGGTTTTAGTAGTGTGATTAAATTATTGTGAAAACGTATCCTAGAAATAAATTATGTTACATTACTCTTGTGTTTACATTAATAAGCAAAATACACCTACCTGCACATCAGAGGCCAGAGCCTCATACGCTGGCTTGATCAAATACCAATAATTTCTTCCTAACGTGAGGGCTACTGCCGGTATGCTAAATGCACAGTGATGAGTTATTTCATTGTCTGTATTTTGAGCTTGGGAAGGATGAGTCATCGAGACAAAATGATCTACAAGGTAATGCGGAACAAGGTCTTGTGTGGGACGGTTTGAAGGCACATCAGATTGTATAAGGCAGTTCACCACTGGATTTGGAGCATCGGACTCCTCAAGACATGCACTTAGATAGCCCACTTCATTGTATAACACACAATATTTCTGTTCTCTTTCTAGGTAAGTGGCACGCATTTGTTCAGAGTATGACGTAAGAAACTTTTGTTCGTGGTAAAGTACAGGCGGATTTTTCTGAGAGTTTGAAGTTCTCGGTAGAGAAACAAAAGAGGGGACTTGTTTCTGTACTTCGCACAGTCCAGACGACTTTTGTGAAGCTATTGTTAAAACATCTTTTTCAGAATCAGATAAATCAAGATCCGTATGTGATGCATCCGACTCTTTGCAGGTTCCTTCACTATGAGATATATTTGACTTTTGATTTAACGTAGCAGCATTTTTATTTGATGTGCAAGTCTTCTTACTCAGCACACTTTGTTTCATAACTCCAAGTATCTCCGGTGGTTTGAATTTGGTCTTCACATTATCTGTAAAATAAAAAAAATATAATTACAATACCGAAAATTAACGCTATTTATTACATCATGCCTCTTCCGGAATACGGGCATGCTGTTTGGTCATGCGAATATGCACAGGTCATTCAATTTCTGAGACCGTCCAGCAAAGAGTTATTAATTTTAATTCATTGATTAATTAGTGATTCCGGGTGTGAAAAACCGCTTAGGCCATTAGTTGCGAAAGTGCAGTGCACGATTTTCCTCGGGAGGTGGCGGTGATCTTCCCCCGCTGCAGCCTTCCGGCGCCAACCGCCAGCGGGACACGCTCCCGACCAGTCTCCCCGCATGTGCGATTGCGTAGTGCATTCAAGTATGTGTAAGTACCGTCAGGACTCAAACCTAAGACCTCCCGATCAGAGGCACTGCAATGACATCAGTTTATGCTCTGAGCCGGGTAGGAACCATTAAGATCATACATTTCTTGAAAACGTTTCCACGCGAAGAAAGCATGCAGTTTCTCATATCACCAAAAAATGGGATTTGATAGAAATGTTCATTACTATGAGATTCACTGAATATTCAGAGACGCGTTGGTTACTAGTAGCTACGTCGAATAATTTTAACCTTAATTTGTATACACAAAACGGGACTTTTGATCTAATCAGAATACAAGCGGTACGACGATTCAATGAAAATGAGACCTGCTCGATTCTTCAAACGTCTTTTGCAGATCCATATTAGGAAATAATAAAGGAAAAAACTATGAAGCCGTTTTCGCGAAAATATGTTTTCTTTTCTTTCAATTGCCTTACAATATCCGAACAAACAAGCCTGAAAACTTGCAAGCGTTTTTGTGAAGAAATAACTGCATATATTTGACGCAAAATTACCCGAAAATGAGTCATATTTCCAAAATACCCTAATTGAAAATACTTAAACATCTTTCTTGCGAATTGATTTTATTTAAAGATTGTGGTTCTAAAAAGATACCCACAACGTTTGGACGTTGACAATTTTCAAAAATTCAGAGAGATCCACGAAAAAGAACCTGTACAATTTTTTAACCTCCTGTACGTTACATACATTTCAATACGTTTTTATAATATTATCATTTATGATTATTATTATTTACGCGTTATATACGTTTTTAAGCATCCTATACAGGAAAAAAGAAAACGAACGTTGAAGCATTTTTGAAAAAATGTTAAGCTTTCATGTAAAGCACCTCTAGAATTCTTAAGTCCTCGAGTTCAGTAAGATCGATAAAGGAATATCAATATTGAAGAAAATCGTCAGAACGGTTTACGCGCTAGCACTGACCAGAGATGGATATACGGACGTTTCGCCGCCGAACAAATACGATATCAACGTCACACAAAACGTGGATTCTAACTAAAAAAACTATTATAGATAGTTCCTTACTGTATATAGGAACACGATTTATCCACCTTTTACACAAAAGACTGCACAATTCAATTTTTTTTGTACAAAATATCGCCGATCATTACTGTTACTATCACACTCTTATATTTGAATGAGGTGTGCTAAATAGCGTGCATGATTCCCCAGGGTGCGTCACGAATGTTTTCCTTGACGTCGATTGGCTGACGTCATCGCCAGTGGTAGGCGGCAAGAAACGCCGACAGTCTTGTGGCAAGTGCTGTTGTGTTTAGTTGTCGAGTCTAATCTATTTTCTTTGTACGTAGAACCTGCTTTGCCCCCGGACATTCTTAAGGTTCTTTTGAAGGGAGATCTTGGATATCGACCCCTTGCTGACGCACTTTAATGAGACTTAACCTCGAGAAGAAAGAAAGAAGAAGAGTGCTGAAATATTATAGGTAGTCCTCTTATGATTTGCTATTGTTGTGTTTGAGCCATGCTCAGAAAATCACAACACCCACACTGCTTGGGCGACACCAAGACGGGTTCTCGCAACTCCGGCGCGCCAATAATAAGAGTACGAAGCAGTGCGACCAGTTATCTGCGTGTCGCGGCTCAACCGCCGGACTTTCAGTTCATGGCAAGCGCGGATGGGTCCGACGTGACGTCATGCCACCCCTCCAGGAGAAGCAGAGGAACTGACCACCCACGCCTTCTTAAACGAGACGTCGGGGTGTTCAGACATGTGCAGAGAGCGAGGCCGGTTTAAGTATTAATTGATCATGCAGACTTGGCCTACCTCATTACCCCCTAAGCATTACTTTTGCACCTATTTACAGTTCTATTGATTTTCTAAAAATATTTTGATACATGATCTACTTTGTTTCTATTAACTAATTTTTAAATTCATACAAATGTATAATAAATTGTTTCATTCAAAAATGTAACAAAGTATATAAATTAAAAATTGCAAATGGAGATTTAGATTTAAAAAAGATTTTTAATACAGTATTTGTGTGCTCCTACTTATAAGTCTAGCTATTATAAACAATTTACGACAATGATATTTTTGAATTCAGTGAAGGGTAAACATATGTTTACAGTCAAATTTTATGCAGTGTAATTGACATGCCATTTCTTAACCAAGTTAACAAGGGTTATTGAAAACTTTTCTATTTTGTTTTGTCTCGTCGTGAGAAGTAAAAATTCAAAGTTACCGAGTTTTTTAAATGTTCAATTATCCTCATACAGTGCATAAATGAAATAGAGTGCTCATGCCGTAGTTATTTACTTCATCTATTTCGATAAGATCAAGAGTGGACTTAAAAAAGGAACAAGTTGGTGATTTTATTGTAAAGAACCCAAAACGATGTTCGATGTGAATACAAGAAAATCACTGATTTAAATAACACCCTATTTGCAACTTTTTTACAGTCTCTGAAAACCGAGCCAAGTATGTTTGCATTAATCTTCACTTCAAAGACAATCAGCTTACGAGGAATACTAAAATCAATGAATGGAATTTCAAAATAATATTAAAGAATTGAATTAATATTTAGTTTTTAATAAGGTGTTAACTATCAATGTTTTGAGTTTTTTCACTAAAACGTTTTATCTTTTGAAAAATATATTAAACACTTTCTTTTAATGTCGAACCACAACGTTCCAATGCTCTCATCCTGGAGACAATTGCTATTCTGCATAAATTATAAGGGCAATTTTATTTAATGCCCAAGCGATTCTGCAAAAGTTTCAATAGTTAACGAGACCTGTAAAATTTAAAATGACAAACAATAATTTAAATAATTTTCATCTGACTTAAACCTAACATACACTGATGTGCCAAAAAACCGGTACATCTGCCTAATGTCGTGTAGAACCCCCGGAAGCACGTAGAAATGCCGCGATACGACGTGGCAAAGACTCTACTAATGTCGTGAAGTAGTGCTAGAGGTAATTGATTCTATAAATTCTACAGGGCTGTCCATGAATTCCTAAGAGTGCGAGAGGGCCATTTCTTCTGAACAGCACGTTGCAAGGCATCTCATATATGCTCTATAATGTTCATGTCTGGGGATTTTGGTGGATAGTGGAGGTGTTTAAATGAAGAAGTGTGTTCCTGAAGCCACTCTGTAGAAATGCTGGATGTGTTGAATCTCGTATTGTCCTGATGGAATTACCTAAGTCCGTCGGTATGCACAATTGACATAAATGAGTGTAGGTGATCAGACAAGAAGCTTACGGGTCTGAGTCGTATCTAGTCGTATTAGGTTCCCATATCACTCTAACTGCACACCTTCCATACCAACAAAGAGCCTCCACCAGCTTCAGCAGTCCCCTGTTGGCATGCAGGGTCTATGGATTCACGAGGTTGTCGCCATACTCTTACACGTCCATCTGCCGGAAACAATGTGAAACGAGACTCTTCAGACCAGGCAAAGTGATTCCAGTCATTAACAGTCACACGTCGGCGTTGATGAGCCCAGGTGAGAACTAAAGCTTTGTCTCGTGTAGTCATCAAGTGTACACGAGTGGGCTTCGGCCCGAAACCGCATATCGATAATGTCCAATTGAATGGTTGGCTCGCTGAAGCTTGTTGATGGCCCAGGATTGAAATCTGTAGCAATTTTCGGACGGGTTGCACTTCTGTCATGTGTAATGATTCTCCTCGGTTGTCGTCGGTCCAGTTCTTGCACATCTTTTTGCTGCCGCAGCGATGGCGGAGGTTTGATGTTTTACCGGATTCTCGATATTCACGGTACACTTGTGAAATGGTCGTAAGGGGAAATCCAAATTTCATCGCGGCCTCGGTGTTGCTACGCTCCATTTCTCTTGAGCAGACTAACACCACGTTCAACCCCACTTAAATCGCAATAACCTGCTATTGTAGCCGCAGTAACCGCTCTAACAACTGTGCCAGTCTGGTTGCCTTATATAATCGTTGCCGACCGAAGCGCCGTATTGTGAGTGGTTCCAGATCTCTTTATTTCAATAGTATGGTTGTACCAGTTTTTTGGCCCTTCATTGTATTATGCGCACCTGAGGCTGATAAATAACATCTCCGTTTTCACAACTTTCGCTCTGCCAAAAGCTCTTAAATTGCCATTGGTTAAGCCCGTTCTTATAACGTTGACAGAATGGACAACATATTTCATCTCGTAGTTCCAGTTCAAAATTTTACTGCCAAGCGACTCTTGGTAGATGATGCAGTCAATGCACATTAGAGAATCGGAATACATTTCGAAAAGTGGCAGTGGGTGAGTGAAATTTAAGGGTGCTGCAAAAGGAATGGCCTTAAGAGATAGGGGTCTCCCTCTCCAACAAGGCCCGTATTACACTGTAAAAGATATTTGACAAATATCTTGTCATGATGAACTTTGTGGAAGTTCTTAGAACATTGACGAAGGGAACTTGGACAAAGAAATTTGATGAACGTATTTCATTTCGTGTAATATTTTATGAGCATGAATTTTGCTCGCGATTGAAGATGGATGACGCACAAGTAGTTGTGTTTGGGCTACTTTATGCTTAATATCAACTAATCTATGTTTAATTCAGAGGTAAAAGGTAAAGAGGAGACTTTTGAGAGTAAGGACATGGGTCGCATATAGTAAAGCATTAATTAAAGAATTTAGAAATGAATTATTTGA